AGATATAGATATATAAATATATATAGATATAGATATATAGATATATATATATATATAAACACCAGGATGTGTACAATGAATGGATAATGATGTATGCTTGGACAAAAGATAGTGACGATGCCGTATAAACTATGTATCATAAACTATGTATGAATCTGTCTATAGCAGTACTATACATGTGCACAATGTATAACACTGGGCGAATGAGTGTAGCGTGGTGGCGATTGAGTGGATACTACTTGTAAATAGGTATATAGAAGTACTGTGCGTGTGTATGAGTATCAGAACGCGTGCGGGAGGACAGTGTGGTGGCCATAAAACGTACACTACATATGAATGGATACATGTACAGGGCGTGTGTATACAAACATGCGTACTTGAATAGAGAGTAAGGGCCTTCGTAGTCGAGGGTAGCGTGGAGACGGTGCCGCATACACTACGCATGAATGTGTATACGGATTACACTCTCTAGTTCATTGCAATACTGTGAGACGCGCATGTCCTTCTAAGGAGCCCTCTCGAACACGCTTAAACAAAGGGACAGGAACGGACTTATCAATACCCATCAGAGGCTTACCCTTCCCACACACAGTCTGTTATAATTGCTCACTCTGATACTTCATATGCGACATATGCGAAGCGTTTTTCAGCACAAACGTCGCCCGCATAACTGTTTAAACCGGGTTTATCTCACGCCTAACAAAGAGATTAAAACCTGGTTTGGACTCACCTTCTCAAACACGCACTCTGTTCTAGTATCACACTCTGGTATGTCCTGATGCGTTCGGCGTCCCAGGACCAATGTAATCCCTTCGGCCGTATAGGGCAGGTCTGCACCTGCGCGTGTGGGGTTTAGGGCCTTGTGATCCGGCAGTCGTATCTTCTCGCCCGTTTCCTCGTCCACTCCGTAGTCGATATTGTTGGACCCTACATAGGGGTCATCCTGTGGTGATAGAGGCAACATGTGTATTTGGTGTTCGTGTCCTGTACCGTGATCGACACTATTGGTGCCTGTGTAGAGAATCTCTCCTATGATTGTATTGAGCATGTGGTGGTATGAGAATAGCACTGAATACTATTGGTCCGGTGCGTGTGCCGGTGTGGAGCGTTTGTGATCTACCCCACTATCACAATAGTGAGGCACATTTATAGGTTTATCGCCAGTTTGGTATTGTTGGATTTTTCTTAGAAATCATACCTGGAATAACAATTGGGCGCCTGCGATCCCCTTGTATATGGATATACAATTTATGCAATAAAATCTAGTAGCAGCAACCCACTAATCCTTCGAAAGCACACACTATACCTATCAACATACAACCTACAACACACATCCGTTCTTGCAATCCAGCATCTTCCGTACACATACACACCTCAATGCAGCATCTTCCCGTACACATACACACCTCAATGCAGCATCTTCCCGTACATATACACACCTCAATGCAGCATCTTCCCATACACATACACACCTCAATG